AGCAACTCGCAGCACACAGCAACTCGCAGCACACAGCAACTCGCAGCACACAGCAACTCGCAGCACACAGCAACTCGCAGCACACAGCAACTCGCAGCACACAGCAACTCGCAGCACACAGCAACTCGCAGCACACAGCAACTCGCAGCACACAGCAACTCGCAGCACACAGCAACTCGCAGCACACAGCAACTCGCAGCACACAGCAACTCGCAGCACACAGCAACTCGCAGCACACAGCAACTCGCAGCACACAGCAACTCGCAGCACACAGCAACTCGCAGCACACAGCAACTCGCAGCACACAGCAACTCGCAGCACACAGCAACTCGCAGCACACAGCAACTCGCAGCACACAGCAACTCGCAGCACACAGCAACTCGCAGCACACAGCAACTCGCAGCACACAGCAACTCGCAGCACACAGCAACTCGCAGCACACAGCAACTCGCAGCACACAGCAACTCGCAGCACACAGCAACTCGCAGCACACAGCAACTCGCAGCACACAGCAACTCGCAGCACACAGCAACTCGCAGCACACAGCAACTCGCAGCACACAGCAACTCGCAGCACACAGCAACTCGCAGCACACAGCAACTCGCAGCACACAGCAACTCGCAGCACACAGCAACTCGCAGCACACAGCAACTCGCAGCACACAGCAACTCGCAGCACACAGCAACTCGCAGCACACAGCAACTCGCAGCACACAGCAACTCGCAGCACACAGCAACTCGCAGCACACAGCAACTCGCAGCACACAGCAACTCGCAGCACACAGCAACTCGCAGCACACAGCAACTCGCAGCACACAGCAACTCGCAGCACACAGCAACTCGCAGCACACAGCAACTCGCAGCACACAGCAACTCGCAGCACACAGCAACTCGCAGCACACAGCAACTCGCAGCACACAGCAACTCGCAGCACACAGCAACTCGCAGCACACAGCAACTCGCAGCACACAGCAACTCGCAGCACACAGCAACTCGCAGCACACAGCAACTCGCAGCACACAGCAACTCGCAGCACACAGCAACTCGCAGCACACAGCAACTCGCAGCACACAGCAACTCGCAGCACACAGCAACTCGCAGCACACAGCAACTCGCAGCACACAGCAACTCGCAGCACACAGCAACTCGCAGCACACAGCAACTCGCAGCACACAGCAACTCGCAGCACACAGCAACTCGCAGCACACAGCAACTCGCAGCACACAGCAACTCGCAGCACACAGCAACTCGCAGCACACAGCAACTCGCAGCACACAGCAACTCGCAGCACACAGCAACTCGCAGCACACAGCAACTCGCAGCACACAGCAACTCGCAGCACACAGCAACTCGCAGCACACAGCAACTCGCAGCACACAGCAACTCGCAGCACACAGCAACTCGCAGCACACAGCAACTCGCAGCACACAGCAACTCGCAGCACACAGCAACTCGCAGCACACAGCAACTCGCAGCACACAGCAACTCGCAGCACACAGCAACTCGCAGCACACAGCAACTCGCAGCACACAGCAACTCGCAGCACACAGCAACTCGCAGCACACAGCAACTCGCAGCACACAGCAACTCGCAGCACACAGCAACTCGCAGCACACAGCAACTCGCAGCACACAGCAACTCGCAGCACACAGCAACTCGCAGCACACAGCAACTCGCAGCACACAGCAACTCGCAGCACACAGCAACTCGCAGCACACAGCAACTCGCAGCACACAGCAACTCGCAGCACACAGCAACTCGCAGCACACAGCAACTCGCAGCACACAGCAACTCGCAGCACACAGCAACTCGCAGCACACAGCAACTCGCAGCACACAGCAACTCGCAGCACACAGCAACTCGCAGCACACAGCAACTCGCAGCACACAGCAACTCGCAGCACACAGCAACTCGCAGCACACAGCAACTCGCAGCACACAGCAACTCGCAGCACACAGCAACTCGCAGCACACAGCAACTCGCAGCACACAGCAACTCGCAGCACACAGCAACTCGCAGCACACACCAACTTGCAGCACACACCAACTCGCAGCACACAGCAACTCGCAGCACACAGCAACTCGCAGCACACAGCAACTCGCAGCACACAGCAACTCGCAGCACACAGCAACTCGCAGCACACAGCAACTCGCAGCACACAGCAACTCGCAGCACACAGCAACTCGCAGCACACAGCAACTCGCAGCACACAGCAACTCGCAGCACACAGCAACTCGCAGCACACAGCAACTCGCAGCACACAGCAACTCGCAGCACACAGCAACTCGCAGCACACAGCAACTCGCAGCACACAGCAACTCGCAGCACACAGCAACTCGCAGCACACAGCAACTCGCAGCACACAGCAACTCGCAGCACACAGCAACTCGCAGCACACAGCAACTCGCAGCACACAGCAACTCGCAGCACACAGCAACTCGCAGCACACAGCAACTCGCAGCACACAGCAACTCGCAGCACACAGCAACTCGCAGCACACAGCAACTCGCAGCACACAGCAACTCGCAGCACACAGCAACTCGCAGCACACAGCAACTCGCAGCACACAGCAACTCGCAGCACACAGCAACTCGCAGCACACAGCAACTCGCAGCACACAGCAACTCGCAGCACACAGCAACTCGCAGCACACAGCAACTCGCAGCACACAGCAACTCGCAGCACACAGCAACTCGCAGCACACAGCAACTCGCAGCACACAGCAACTCGCAGCACACAGCAACTCGCAGCACACAGCAACTCGCAGCACACAGCAACTCGCAGCACACAGCAACTCGCAGCACACAGCAACTCGCAGCACACAGCAACTCGCAGCACACAGCAACTCGCAGCACACAGCAACTCGCAGCACACAGCAACTCGCAGCACACAGCAACTCGCAGCACACAGCAACTCGCAGCACACAGCAACTCGCAGCACACAGCAACTCGCAGCACACAGCAACTCGCAGCACACAGCAACTCGCAGCACACAGCAACTCGCAGCACACAGCAACTCGCAGCACACAGCAACTCGCAGCACACAGCAGCCCGCAGCACACAGCAACCCGCAGCACACAGCAACTCGCAGCACACAGCAACTCGCAGCACACAGCAACTCGCAGCACACAGCAACTCGCAGCACACAGCAACTCGCAGCACACAGCAACTCGCAGCACACAGCAACTCGCAGCACACAGCAACTCGCAGCACACAGCAACTCGCAGCACACAGCAACTCGCAGCACACAGCAACTCGCAGCACACAGCAACTCGCAGCACACAGCAACTCGCAGCACACAGCAACTCGCAGCACACAGCAACTCGCAGCACACAGCAACTCGCAGCACACAGCAACTCGCAGCACACAGCAACTCGCAGCACACAGCAACTCGCAGCACACAGCAACTCGCAGCACACAGCAACTCGCAGCACACAGCAACTCGCAGCACACAGCAACTCGCAGCACACAGCAACTCGCAGCACACAGCAACTCGCAGCACACAGCAACTCGCAGCACACAGCAACTCGCAGCACACAGCAACTCGCAGCACACAGCAACTCGCAGCACACAGCAACTCGCAGCACACAGCAACTCGCAGCACACAGCAACTCGCAGCACACAGCAACTCGCAGCACACAGCAACTCGCAGCACACAGCAACTCGCAGCACACAGCAACTCGCAGCACACAGCAACTCGCAGCACACAGCAACTCGCAGCACACAGCAACTCGCAGCACACAGCAACTCGCAGCACACAGCAACTCGCAGCACACAGCAACTCGCAGCACACAGCAACTCGCAGCACACAGCAACTCGCAGCACACAGCAACTCGCAGCACACAGCAACTCGCAGCACACAGCAACTCGCAGCACACAGCAACTCGCAGCACACAGCAACTCGCAGCACACAGCAACTCGCAGCACACAGCAACTCGCAGCACACAGCAACTCGCAGCACACAGCAACTCGCAGCACACAGCAACTCGCAGCACACAGCAACTCGCAGCACACAGCAACTCGCAGCACACAGCAACTCGCAGCACACAGCAACTCGCAGCACACAGCAACTCGCAGCACACAGCAACTCGCAGCACACAGCAACTCGCAGCACACAGCAACTCGCAGCACACAGCAACTCGCAGCACACAGCAACTCGCAGCACACAGCAACTCGCAGCACACAGCAACTCGCAGCACACAGCAACTCGCAGCACACAGCAACTCGCAGCACACAGCAACTCGCAGCACACAGCAACTCGCAGCACACAGCAACTCGCAGCACACAGCAACTCGCAGCACACAGCAACTCGCAGCACACAGCAACTCGCAGCACACAGCAACTCGCAGCACACAGCAACTCGCAGCACACAGCAACTCGCAGCACACAGCAACTCGCAGCACACAGCAACTCGCAGCACACAGCAACTCGCAGCACACAGCAACTCGCAGCACACAGCAACTCGCAGCACACAGCAACTCGCAGCACACAGCAACTCGCAGCACACAGCAACTCGCAGCACACAGCAACTCGCAGCACACAGCAACTCGCAGCACACAGCAACTCGCAGCACACAGCAACTCGCAGCACACAGCAACTCGCAGCACACAGCAACTCGCAGCACACAGCAACTCGCAGCACACAGCAACTCGCAGCACACAGCAACTCGCAGCACACAGCAACTCGCAGCACACAGCAACTCGCAGCACACAGCAACTCGCAGCACACAGCAACTCGCAGCACACAGCAACTCGCAGCACACAGCAACTCGCAGCACACAGCAACTCGCAGCACACAGCAACTCGCAGCACACGCACACACACGCCGTTGACAGCCACCTCACCTCGAGCATGGGCAGGTCCCCCCTTAGCAGTGACTGACCTCGAGCATGGGCAGGTCGCCGAGGGGGAAGTCCCTGAAGCAGTGCGCTGCAACCCTCCCCCCTGACTAGCTATCTGTCTCCCCACTCCTAACCAGCTGTCACCCTCTTATCAGGTCTCACCTCGAGCATGGGCAGGTCGCCGAGGGGGAAGTCCCTGAAGCCCGTGATGTTGAGAAACGCCACCTCGTCCGCGCCCTCCTTGAAATACCGTGCTGCCAGCTCCACTGGCTTGCCCAGGTTGCGCACCTGGTGGGATGGGGTGCATGCGGGTGTGGGAGGATGGGAGGTGCAAGCAGGCAGGGGTGTGTTGAGGGGCTGCGAGCATGTTTCAATGGCTTGCTCGGGTTGCGCACCTGGCTGAAGGGGAGCATGCGGGGGAAGGGGGGGTTGGTGTGGGCGGGGAAAGGGGATTGTAGGAGGGGAGGGAAGGGACGAACGATGGTGTGGGGAGAGCGGAAGAAAAGCGTGGAGTGCCAGCCACAACCACAACCGCGCTGGCAATGCAGTGCAGTGCCATCCCCAACCCCTCTGCATTCCATTTCATTCCCATCCACCATCTCCCATCCACCATCTCCCATCCACCATCTCCCATCCACCATCCTCCTCCACTCTTTACAGCCCTCACCTCCCTCTCATCGCCCTGCTCCCGCACGTCATACTGGTCGCCCTTGGTGACCACGAGGTCTCCCCGGTCGTTAGCGCGCACATCCAAACATGCAATCACACGCTTCGCCAGCTGCGTGGCTCGTGGGCCCCTCAAAGGCTTGCTGCATGCTTCCTCTACCTCCTGCTGGGGTTGGAAGGGGTGAGGTGGAGTGCGGTGAGGAGGAGTGCGGCAAGGTGTTGGTCCCCCTTGGAGGAGTGGCGTACTGCCCGTGCCAGGCCATGCTGTGCTCACATCACATCAACCCATGTGCAAACCAGTGTGACGATACAAGTGCAATGAGGCACATGAACGCCCAAGGAGTAAGTGGGAGGAGAAAAATGACTGAAGCAGAGACAGACTGCCTGCCAGCTTAGCGGAGAGCGAATAGATTCCACCAGCGCAGGCAATCAGAGAGGGCAGGGAGTGCAGGGAGGGCGGGGAGGGCAGAGCGAGCAGGGAGGGCAGAGGGAGCAGGGAGGGGAGGGAGGAGAGTGAGGGTGGAGAAAGAGAGGGTACCCACGTTGGCCTGCTGGCTCCTGTTGGGGCCGAGGAAGCGACGCAGGATGTCCAGACCCACCACTGGCGGGGGTATGGTATGGGGGACACGGATGAGGGGACGGGGATGAGGGGAAGGGGATGAGGGGAAGGGGATGAGGGAAAGGGGATGAGGGGAAGGGGATGAGGGAAAGGGGATGAGGGAAAGGGGATGAGGGGAAGGGGATGAGGGGAAGGGGATGAGGGGAAGGGGATGAGGGACGTGTCAGGAAACGTAGGGAGCAGGGAGGACGCATGCACGCACACGGGACGTGGCTAGGGGTATGAGTGGTGTGTAAGCATAGGGTTGGTTCTTGGGATGAGAGATGTGGGCGAGTTAGGAGGCGCAAGAATGCAAGCAGGGAGCACGATGCCCTGCCAACTGCAATCACTGTACTTCCACTCCACTACTTTCCCCCCCTGCCTTGACTTTCCACCACTTTCCCCCCCTGCCTTGACTGCCTCACCCCTCCCCACATCTCACAGCCTGACTTCCCAGGGTGGAACTGCACAGCTTGCACGTTGTCCTTCCTCACTCACCCTCTCACTCACTGCGCGTTGCCCTTTCTCACCCTCTCACTCACTGCACGTTGCCCTTTCTCACCCTGCACGCCCCTCTTCCCACCTTCCACTCCCCTCACCACTCACTCACCGCCCGACTTCTCCGGGTGGAATTGCACGGCCTGCACGTTGCCCTTCCGCACTGCCGCCACGTACGGCTCGCCATAGTTGGCCGTCGCCAGCACCCACTCGCTGTTCGCAGGAGTCTGGAGGGTAAGCCACGCAAGAACAGGGAAAGGAAAGGGCGTGTGTGGTGTGGTGTGGGGGGGAAGAGGGCGGGAGAGGGGAGGTTTTGAGTTGGCTCTAAACAGCCACGTACGGCTAGCCATAGTTGGCCGTTGCCAGCACCCACTCGCTGTTCCCAGGGGTCTGGTGGGGAGAAGGGGAGGAAGAGGAGGGGGGGGGGGGGGGGGGGGGGGGGGGGGGGGGGGGGTGGGGGGGGGGGAAAGAGGAAGGAGTTGGGTATATGCATGGAAGGTACCATACATATGGCTCGCCATAGGTGGGCGTGGCAGGCACCCACTCGCTGTTGCCAGGGGTCTGGGGGTGGAAGAAAGCGAGGGGGAGGGGTGAGGGAGGAGCGGGAGGGAGGGTTATATGCATGGATGGTACAACACATACGGTACGTGGAAGGTACAACCACTGTGGACATACGGCTAGGCTAGCCATGGTTGGCCGTCGCCAGCACCCACTCGCTGTTCCCAGGGGTCTTGGGGGGGGCAAGTCATGTGAGAGGGGGATGGGAGAGGGGGATGGGAGAGGGGGCGGAGGGGGGGTTACATGTACGGTGAGGTGAGTGCCATGGCCATGGCCGCCCGTACGGCTTGTCTCTGATGTCGCCAGCCCAGCACCCACTCACTGTTCTCAGGGATCTGGGGG